CACATGTCTTTATGATACAGTTTATCTACCCACATGTCTTTATGATACAGTTTATCTACCCACATGTCTTTATGATACAGTTTATCTACCCATACATGTCTTTATGATACAGTTTATCTACCCACATGTATCTTTATGATACAGTTTATCTACCCACATGTATCTTTATGATACAGTTTATCTACCCATACATGTCTTTATGATACAGTTTATCTACCCACATGTATCTTTATGATACAGTTTATCTACCAACATGTATCTTTATGATACAGTTTATCTACCCACACATATCTTTATGATACAGTTTATCAACTGAAGCTCTTTCCTTCGTATTCTCCAAAGAATCTACTATCGCCGAGCCGAATATGGTAAATCTCATTCCCCGAGCATTTTCCGTACAGTCGTTGCCACTCTTCCGCTGAAGTCTGTCCTTCTCTGTTATTCAAAAAAGTGTTATCAGTACATAATGATTAAAGAAAACTTTCTTAGAATGGTGCTAGCTAACTTTTATCCTCATGTCTCTTAGATATACTAGAATATTCAAACAATTAACGTTGTTTGTTCTATTGATAGGGACCAGAATTATCTTGCTGGAGCCTTCATGAAGAACGAGTCAGATAAAAATATACAATTTGTATTACATCCGCTATAAGTAGTAACACGAATATCGAAACCTTACCATTCACTCTCTTGATAAAGTTTAGTCATTGAAAAACGGAAGGGTAACTTAATCAAAGTTGAGTACACGGGTTAAAATGGAGACAATCAAGATGTATCTGTCAATCTTTGCCACAAATGTCACAAATATTCGGTTACATTAAGAGCTATATAGCAAAAAGCTAAGAGCTTCGAGTACAGATGTATACGAGCTAAAAAGAAAACAAATGCGCCCACATTGTTCTTGTCTCGTTTATTTCAAACATGGCCAAGTGTTCAGGGGGCTCGACTCGCAATCTGCGAGTCGCGGGATCGAATCCCAGTCCCACCGAACATGCTCGTCCGTTAAGCCGTGGGGGGTGTTATTACGTGATGGTCAATCCCACTAATCGCTGGTGAAAGAGTAGCCCAAGAGTTGGCAGTGGGTGGTGATGACTAGCTGCCTTCCTTCTACTGATTCACTGCTAAATTAGGGACGACTGGCACAGATAGCCCTCGAGTAGCTTTGCACGAAATCCATAAGAAACAAACAAACTTCAAACACTTTGATAAAACGAAACTAGACGTTAGGTTTGAAAGTTATGTTGAACCCAGACGATGAGTAGATTTCTATTCTTTCGTGATTTGTATTCTGCAAAAGTTAGCATTATATTCTTCATTCTGTTATTTGTTTCAGTTTCTGTAACATAAACAAAACGTTTTACCTAACCTCCCGAGTGGCACAGCTGTATGTCTGCGGACTTACAACGCTAAAATCCGGGTTTCGATACCCGTGGTGGCCAGAGCACAGATAGCGCATTGTGTAGCTTTGTGCTTAATTACAAACAAACAAACAGTTTTACCTAAAGACGTTAAGCAAAATCTATTCGTTTTTATGTAAATTTCAATTTTGAAGTCTTCAAGATTTACATACCTTTGTCCAACAGTTTAAAAAAAAAAAACTGGTTCACACGCAGAAAAATAAACGTGAGGTAAAATATAATATCTAGTACTATGAGGATTGATCATATATAGCAGCGAATTTATCGAAATATCTTATGATGAGATGGCCTTGTAACTGGTATTTTGGAAAACCAAATGTATTTATCTTACATATAATATACATTCAACTACTGTATAAAACCCAGTATCAGTCTTTCGATTTCTTCTCGTCCAGGATTACTGATGAGCGACGTAATTCTCCGAAGCCGGTACATTTCAGTGACAAGTCATAGTTTGAATTAATAGAGTGAATTTCACATTTGAGTTTCAGTATAACTTTAATATAGTTTAAAGGATGTGCTGCAACCACTGTATTCAAGTATTAAGTCATTAACATTTACATGCTCCATATGAAACTGGCGAGAAATTTCACTAACTGATCAAACTTGTAGATCTCTCCCAATCATAAATGTAGAATTTTAATACCTTTTAAATTGTGTCATTCCAACCGTATAATCTTCGTCTTGAATAGAAACTGAGACCTGTATTTTTACTACAATGAAAAATACAATATCTATTAAATATCTCAGCAGACTAGTTTTGGTAACACAGTTACCATCATCGGGGCTAATGAATATAGGCCAAGTTGTAATCGGCTGAAATACATATTAAATGTATTATATTTCTTTCTGCCACAAAACGTTGCTTTTTGGTTTTTACACTGAATATGGTCGCACAATGAGCTTGAAAAAAATTACTGGGACTAATGTTGCATTTATATGTTTATTTGGTTTAGAACAACGCCACATTGGGCTATCTGCTGTGTCCACCTCGGGGAGTCGAACCCCCCTATTTTAGCTTTGTCCCCCCGGAGTCTGTTGCATTTAATACATCATTTTAGTTGTTGTGTTGGTGCATAGTGTGTTACATTTTAAATCCAGCGAGTTGGATTTATAATTATAGAAACCATATCCGTAAAAAACTTCTGATTATTAAAGGTTACACCGTAAAAAACTTCTGATTATTAAAGGTTACACAATTTTAATTTACTCCTCTTATTTGAGAGTTCCCCCACTGTTGATAAAGTTTTGAAACTGAATATTAGACAAATCCTAAAACTGTTCATTATACAAACTGTATCACTATTGAAACCTTCGAAATATTTAAAAATGGATCTACTATTGGATTTACTAACTCATCCATTATTACACTCATCTGAACGTTTTCACCTATTTCACAGAACCAAGCCCGGCCTACTGTCTTTTACAAAAGTTTGTTACAATTTTTATATATACATATATATATATATATATATATAATTTAACTCATGTCTTTATTATTTAATAATTTAATAATATTATTGGAAATACTGCCGAGAATATCAGTTACAGTGAAGGTATGTAAGTGACAATTCAGTACATTTTAACTTTCTGTTTTTTTCCTAGTCAATTTCACCCCGGAAGGGCCAGGTGGTTAGGGCACTCGACTCGCAATCTGAGAGTCGCGAATTCGAATCCCCGTACCACCAAATATGCACAATAGATTCTAAGATTTGAACAGGAACGCTGAAAATGGAAAGCGGGAAGTAATACCGTACACCAAGGCAAGGATGACATAGTACATACATTATTGGAGATATTCGCGTTTTAGCGTTCAGTACCACTGATATCAAAGCTGTATCCACGTGTATGGATATGGAAAACAGTGAAAATATGGTTGAATTCAGGGCAGAAAAGACACGTGTTCTTGCTAGTTTAGTACGTACTAAAACGTATATGATACTTGTACAAGGAATGCCCGAAGACATGAATTTGCCAAATTAATGAAGATAACCCCACACTTTAAGAGGATCAAAAACAGATGATGAGAAAGTAATTAAAAACTTCAAATATGTAAATGTAATTTTTTTTGAAATACATGACTTGCGCTAAGGGTGAAAAAACATTTGCCTCTTACGGGCAAAGAAAGATGAGTATCATAAATATATAAAATAGGTAAACATAAAAATCTATCGCTGTCAGTAACTTTTGCGTTTCTAAGAAAGAAAAAGTTATAATTTCTTAATAATCGATTTTTTTTTCAAGGATATCTCTGAAACAGAAGAAAAATATACTTACTGACCACGAGAAGTATGAAGAAGAAGAGTTACCAAAGTTGACGTTCCGGGACACAAGCAGTTATTAGCCAATAAAGCATACTTAAATTCATCTTCACAAACCACGTGTTCTACGTAGAAAACCAGAATTGTCATAGATGCTATTCTTTATACAGTTATTACTTTATAGCATTGTATTATTATTATTCACTCCAGTGAATCATGTATTTGATATTCATGTTCTGTGTGTGTTCAGTGTAACATTTGTAACATTTTAAGATACGTATTTCTATGATTTTAATAACTATTTTAACCTTCTATAAGTTTAAGTATCCTTTGCATCAATGCTTAATAATATACGTAATAGTTCCTTTCACCACACTTAAACTTAGATTACATTTAAAACCAAATAGTGTCAACTGAGTATGATATAGTAAAGTTAATTTATACTGGATCCATTAATATGTTTAAACTTTATACAACTGTAAGTCTTAGTTTTAAAATGTGAAGTTAACTTAGTCAGTTTACATTACTTTCATATAACTATTGGAATGATTAGCCTGTAAATAACGTGCACTACAGAACGCCTAACTTTATTAATCTACATGTCAACACATCATGTTGGCTTTCATAATCGGAATTCATTGCTACAAATTTATCCCACGTTATTTCATTATTTCATTTAAAGTTTATTGTATCCAAGCTAGCTTACAAAATGCACAATGTTTATAACAAACCTGCAAAGGCTACATGTACTTTATTTTCTGGACGGAAGATCTGGACATACTGCGGAACATTAGGAGCAAAGTCCCTGACGGCCCAGGACCTGAGGATAGTATGCTGATCCTAGTTAACAATGAAATTTAAGAAGGCACTTTAGCACAACAGAAGTTGTTATTTTAAATATTGTAATGCCAAGTAGCCATGTTAGAAAACACATCTGCTTTGCTTTTAAAACATTAATCTAAATTTTGTAAATCTGCAATTTTTTTAGACACGTAAGTTTATGAATATGATAAGTAAATTACACTGCTCAAAACAATCAACGGATATTCGGAATTTGAAATATTATAGCTAAGACCAGGAAAACCTATCGTTATAGTTAATACTCCCTCAGTTCACTGTCGTGGAAATCAAGTATTAAGACGATTAGTCATGTTATCTGAAATGCAGATGATTGGTCAATTATCCTATGGTTTTTACGGAGCTGTCTCAGACAGTCTTGTCTCAATTGTCACTTTGAATCACAGAGTTAAAGATCCATAACCATGATTAGATTTAAACAAATATTTCGATATTTTACTCATGTGGAGGGCTATAGGAAGACTAGAAACTAGCCATTCATAGCAGACTGTTGGATTTTTTTTATCCCAGGCACTAGGTGACCCTGTTTTGGGAGCGTTTATTGGGATATGCTTTGTCGAGTGTTGTCGCCTTACTTCTTCTCTTCAACGTCATCATCAGCCTTGGTCTTCTCTCTACCTCCTGGACTTCCAGACATCTCTCAAATCTTCACACCAGCTACATTAGTAGATACGACCTAACTCTGAAAAATTTATACCACACGAACTGAGCAAATTTAGTTTTCGTGAGCGGGGCGAAGGGGCACATAAATATCCTTCCTTTAAAAACTAAATCCTTGGCACGATTTTTTTAGGAGACTGTTGCAAAGTTGCTAGAAGTGTTTAATTTTTTACTGACACCTGGACCATAAACCACAAGACAAGCAAGCGGTACTATTTGTCGAAGCTGACTCGCTAGAATCATTTGATACTTGCTCTGAGACTGAATCAAATGTTCGCAACTACAGATGAATGTCGAAATAGAGCACGGACAGTTAGAAACAGGCTTGATAAGGTCGGTCTGTGTGCCAACACGCAACGAGTGTATTTCACCTAGACCCAGGCCCAAAACAGTTCAACTACAATAGTGTTCTAGATCATGTCTACTGGTTCAATGAGATGTGGGTCAGTATCTTGTTTTACAGATAAGTCTCGCTTCATCTTGGCGTGGGCAGGATTTGATCTTAACGAAGATGCCGACTTAGAGTGCTTATTGAAACTTCATCTTTTATAAACACTCTGATTTTAAGTATACAACACCAGTATCAGGATACCACTGCTATTCGTCATACTTCCTGGATATGCGAAAAATCATGAACTGTAAAAATGTAAATCCACCTCGTATAAGTGTTCATTTACGAGTGAAGACTGAATGACCAAACATTTTCATTGGATATTGCATGGTTGGTTGTCAAGTGCTTGATTTGCATAAAAACAAAACAAATGTGGATCCCAATACATTGGGGAAACCAAACAACTAAAAAAGTTAGAAGTATTTAACCTTATATATAAAAAACTAGGAAATACCGATCTATCTGTAATAGCCGGTCGTGCTAGGGAAGAAGGTCATATGAGAAACTGGGTTAATGCTAAATTAATTGGATATAAGTAACACGTGGGGAACAACATAAAAAGGATACAAGTAACACGTGGGGAACAAGATAAAAAGGGTATAAGTAACACGTGGGGAACAAGATAAAAGAAGCCTTCTACGTCCACCTAACTGATAAAACACTCAGCCGAACTTGGATATCCCACTTGAGGACATTCGATTCGTTAGTTGATTGAAGTTCTAAATGGAATAGACCCCGATCGGCAGGATAACGCAACAGACTTCCAACAAGTAAACACAGGATCGAATCATGGTTGTTATTCACATAGAAATATTACTTTACACGACTTGCTTGAAGAAGAAAGCACATTATCAGTTGTATATCTACAAGTCTATCCCTTCTTACGAAGCTTACATCAAAGGTTATCTGAGCAGTTGTTCACTGAACAAAAGGAAAACATAACATACCGCTGCGTTTCGATCAACGTAGTTTCTTCCAGTTAGCATAAAACAAGCCTCTGCCGCATTCAACCTGAAATATACAAAATTATATAAGTAATTAGAAAAATATACCGACTTCATGGAAAATCCGTACTTTATATCTATGTGTGAAACGTAAAAGAACAGAACTTCAAAAAGTGTTGTACCACAGTGTAATTTACTTTGCAATAAAATGTGCAAATCGTCAACTAAAGTATACAAATACCATTCATCTGATAATGTGACAAACACTTAGCCTTGTAAGTTGTTTCTACAAATATATACATATTAACATATAGCTTTCAAACGAAGCACCTATATTGAAATGATGATAAAATATATATGAACAAATTTTTATATAATTTATATAAATCTTTTGAACCAGTTTTTGTTGGAAGAAACTAATCGTTGATTAACTAATGTATGATTGCGAGAGTCATTACTAGCTTTTCATAATATATCAAAATTTTTAATATCAGTCATTGGGCTTTTCACGCTATCTACACTAGCTATTCCTAGTTTTGTGTTAATAGACTAGAAGGAAGGGTGTTTGTTTATATCAAATTAAGTACAAAGCTACAAAATGAGCTATCTGTGCTCTGCTCACTACGGGTATTGAAACCCAGTTTCTGGCGTTGTAAGTCCGCAGACATACCGCTGTGCCACTGGGGGGGGGCTAAAAGGAAGTGAAACAGTCAACAGCACCCACTGTCAACTCTTGAGCTGCTCTAATCGAATAGTGATATTTAACTGTCACTTCTATAACGCATCAATGACTCATATCGACCGAATGCGGTGTTTTATGCAGCAATGGGGCACGGACCATGGATCCGTAACTCAATAGATCTACACGTAAATAGTATGCCACGCTCAGCCCTTTGCATAAGAGGACAGTTGAAAGGTTCAATGCTTCACCTGGCTCGAGTCAGATCTGCGTCTTTCAGCGCCGACCCCTGGATATAGATCACTCTTTGGGCCCACATGGGAACTTGTAAAATCATCTTGGTGGTCGTATCAGGCTCACACGGTGTTAGAAGTACTACAAAGTAATCCTACAAAGCATTCAAAAATCGGTTCATTAGCAAGAAACGAAAAGTTGAACTCCTTTATCACAGCAAAAATTTCCTCAGGATAAAAGTTATAAGGTAACGGGTTTCTATCACTAAAAACATTAAACATCATAGTGTATTTTATGTAAGTACGTCACTTGAAATATAAATTTGAAGTTTAAGATAAATTTTCTAAACGTAGAAAGATCAATAATCAATAATACAGAAGAAAGATTTTGTTTGTTTGTTATTGTTCCAATAAATCAACATTAATATTGTATTAATTGTTTGTACAGAAGTGATTTGCTTAAAACGACTGGAATTGAAACTCTGTTATACATGAGTCTAAACAATTATGAGTGCAAGACAAAGCTGATCGAACTGTGTCTGAAGTATCAGTGTTGACACGTAGAGTTTTTCGTTTTTTTTTCAGATTATCAGATTTACTAACCTGCAAGAGAGGGTGAGCATAAAACTCGTTCAAGAAGTCCATGATGGTGTCTGCTCTGAGTGTAGTACTACACACAACTACGTGCCTCTCGCTCTGAGCACGATGCAAACTGTAGGTTCCGCCAAGTTTCTGACGTTCCATCCACGTGTAGGCTAGTTGTTCGAACTATTAAGAAAGAATATCAAAATACGACATTGTTTCATATTCAAAATAAAATACGGTTTAACTTAATAACACTATAAAAGTTACGTTAATTTTTCTTTTCATAACCAGAAAATTTGGACCCATTGACTCAGCGATAAGTCCGCAGGCGTATAACTCTAAAGTTCGGGTTTCGGTACCCGTGATGGGCAGGGCACAGATAGCCCATTCTGTAGCTTTGTTAGTTGAATATTGTAAAAACAAATAAAGTGATAATGGCATAGTTGAAAAGATGTTTTGTGTAAAAGGTGTTTTTACATAAAATAGCAATATACTTTTTATATTGCTGAAAGTGTTTATTTTTAAAATTTGTGTCAATTTATTTATTGTTTTCTACCACATATTACAATGCTCATTTTTTGTAGGTATTATTCATACGAATAATTAAATAGAAGAAACTGTCAAGCACATCTGTTGCAACTCTGAAATAAAATGCTACTGCTAAAGTCCATTTCAAGATATCAAAAGGGAAAAACAAAACAGAAATGCATCATTAAGCAAAGCATGAAAATTATATCATTGTAACCGATTAAACAATACCCAACCTAAAACTCGTTAAAAACTTAGTATTTAAACGCCATATCTAGCCAAAAATATTAAGGACATTGCAATTCGACCTAAATATGCTAAATAATTTAATGACTTAAAACATTTTATTTTTAACAAGATGACATATCTATATATACATATATTGACTAGAAATGATACGTGTAACAAACCAAGTGAGCCGCACTTCATACTATAAGGAAATTCACCCCTTTTATCATAATATATCTTAAGTTCCAAGTGAAATAGGTTCAATAGACCCAGAGACATTGCGTGTAAGCTTCATTTATTCTCTGTACCTTGTTCCTTTCGGCTGATTTAAATACTAAAGTATACGTTAGCTTCAGAGCAATGAAGCCTAGTAAAAGAAATTTTTAAAAAATGCTCTCATATTACTTAAAGTCCAACTTAAAAAACTCCAACCACAGCTAAAGATATGGTTGTTTGTTTGTTATGGATTTCGCGCAAAGCTACACGAGGGCTATCTGCGCTAGCCGTCCCTAATTTAACAATGTAAGACTAGAGGGAAGGCAGCTAGTCATCACCACCCACCGCCAACTCTTGGGCTACTCTTTTACCAACGAATAGTGGGATTGACCCTCACATTATAACGCCCCCACGGCTGAGAGGACGATCATCTTTGGTGGGACGGGGATTCGAACCCGCGACCCGCAGATTGCGAGTCGAGCGCCCTAACCACCTGGCCATGCCGGGCCTGCTAAAGATATATTTGAACACAAGTACCTCGTTAAATCGTATACAAATTGTTTAACCTTCAATTATAACCCTTTAAAGTTAAATACGCCAATACATAATATTTAAGTAGCACAACGTGACGTTCTTAAATATATATTTTATTATACGTTGCACCACAAAAAGCAATAATCACAGTAATTATGCCACAACACCTATAAGTCCAGTACAAAACCAAATATTTTATTTTGTAATATTTCAACGGTATAGATTATCGAAACTGAAGTCTTAAGATTTTCCGAGACCTAGTGATATGGTGTATTAATAAAACAAACGTTATAACCATACACATTCATGACATACCGTCATCGAAATGCTTAACTGGAGCATATTATGAAAACATTGTGGTTTTCTTTCTCTTGCGAGTTATTCATTACCTTTCTATCATATGAAACAGATAGTATTTTCCCCTGAAAGAATACACTTCAAATGAAACTGTTTCAGAACAGGGTGAATTTCAGAAGTAAAATTTGGCTTTTACAGATAGAATATTAAACTCAAATTTGAAGTTTTGATTTTAACACAGGCCTGAGAATTTTCGGTTTAACCACAAAATTACGTACTTGTTTTTTTGTACGTTTCACTGCCGATGGGGGTCCATATACTGCATCATATTAAGAAATTTTATATTTCCTGCATTATACAACACTATGAAGAACTGTCCAAAAACAATGAATAATTTTCTACGTAAAATTCATAGGAGGCCTTCCAACAAAAAGAGTCGTTAACACACGAGCAATCAGAGACGTAAGTGGTTTTGTTTGTTTGTTTGTAATTAAGCACAATATGGTGGGCAGAGCACAGATAGCCCATTGTGTAGCGGGTATCGAAACCCGGATTCTAGCGTTGTAAGTCCGCAGACATACCGCTGTGCCACTGGGGGGCAAGTGGTTTTGTAACGTCATACTATAGAATCAAATGAACTATATCATGATGTTTTTGACACTACTGATGTTTATGTGGTGAATGTTGACTGAGGGCACTCGCTGGTACAGTCAAAGTGTGACTAATTTCAGTATATTTTTTATGCATTCTTTGTCTTATGCGTAATGTAGTTGTCGATAGTTTATGTTTCATATAATCGATCAAATAATCAAATTCCGTTATAATCGAATGAAAACTCAACAGAAGAAAAAATTATATTATGAAAAGAAAAAGCAATAAATATTTTGATAAGTCATGAACTTTATCAAAAATGATATTTTGTGTGAATAAACCGTCCACTGCATGATTTTTGGAACCAGTAATACATTCAACAAGACTGAAAACTGTGTAGCTGTTGATAAAACGAAGTTTAAATTTGTTTTACATCAAGCCAAAATGCTTTTACTTCGAAAATGCGCAATTAAAACATTTCTAACTAACACTTGCAAAACATTTAAAATTCGAAGTGCTTGAAATTCTAGAAGACTATATCTTCAATTATTTCGAACAGTACTAAGTACAGCAACATAGTGCGCATGTGCACTTTTGTAAAAAGATACCTGTGTCGGTAGAACAATTAACGCAACACAGATCATCACCACCATGAAGAGTTGAGAAGGAAAACAATCAGGTCTATAATCTCCATACCCCACTGTAGAGAAAGTCACCACAACAAAATACAGGCTTTCGAACAAGTTAACATGGAGACTTCCAGCCCTTTGGAAGTGCTGATAACCACAGACGCTAAAAAACCAAAAAAGAAACAACAACATGAATATTGTATTTTTAAAACAACGAAAATATACCAGTTTACTTAAAAACTATTACTAATTTAGGTAAACAACGTGGATTATTCATTGTACTATAAAAGCTTATTTTATATCTGTACATGAACATAAATAAATTAATTTGACTCCGAACTAGAGTCCTCTGTTCTGATATATATTTTGTTAGAAAGGGTAAAGAAACGAAAGTGCCTGATTTAACTGGAAATATAAATATGCTTAAAATGTCTTTCAGAATATAAGACTAAAAGGTACAGGTGTATAAAATAAAATAAAATGTTCTTTCATGATTAAAATTGTACAAAATTAGTCTCTACTGTACACTGATCACAGAAGAAGCTCATCGTAACTGCAGTTCTTAACTAATCATGGTAATGTGTGGTATTTGAGCTGCCTTTTACTCTCTAAAGTTAATAGGTAAATGAAAAACAACTCAAACAACATACACATTATATAGAAATCACTAGTATAAGAAGCTTAGTGTTGCTTTTCAATTAGTCCTTATTCAGGATTACTAATGAGGTATGGGATTACTCGATACCAGTCTAGTTAAAAGTAGCTAAATGATATTCTGGGTTTCTTGGCCCTAATGTGGCCTAGTAATTAGCGTATACGACTGGTGTTTCGAAGGTTTCTGGTTTGAAACGTGTTGCTAACAAATACGCTCCGATCTTTCGTATGTGGGTGTATTATAAAAGTGGAAGTCGATCCCACAATTTGTTAAAACTAGCTGTTTATGCTATTGGGTGCTGTCAACTGGCTGTCTTCTCTTTGGTCCAAAGCTCATAATTAGAGTCAACTTACGTGTAAGCCATGGCTCTCTTGTCCATTGTGCTTAAAATTTATTGTACAGGTAAGTAAACAAACAATCTCGGTTTCCTGTGCCTTTTTCGCCTTGACTTACAATTTTGATGATGAAACAAAACATTAGATGGGTTTCGTTTGATAACGTGAGCTAATACCTTTACTTAGAGAAAGAAAAACGTCAACGTTCTTATAAGAAAAGAAAAAAGACTATTCCTTTAATTAAGGATAAGACAGTTCAATGTTAACTTCTGTTAATTGCAACATATGAGGCTGATGACAAAATTATATCCATTTCCTAAACGATTAATCTCACCTCGTAAATATCAAACAAAGAAGAGTAACCGATAAAACCATCAAACGCTGAGACAACGCTGACTGGGATCTTTGTAGGGCACGATGTAAGTCATTCTGAAATGTTAATAAGGAAAAAAACAAAACCTGAAAGTGGTGCACAAACAGAAATCCAGCAGTTGGTTAGTTGGCTTCAACTAGATTGCTGAATAAATTTCTATATGCTGGTTCTAAAGTGAATAATAAATATTCAAATCAGTTAAATCTTGTTTAAAGCTCTTAAAAGTTCCATAAACCCAAACAAGCCAATATATACTGCCTAAAATATGTGCATGTATTATCCAAATAAGGTCTATCATTTTTGATAAAACCTCAAGTGAGAATTTCGTAAAATGTCATGAGGATCACACATCAACTTTAACCTTTACATTTCGAGAAGAATAATTTGCGAGCACAGTCATCAAAGCTAAGGAACGACGATAAACATTATATATTTAACATAGAAGTTGATTATTTGTGGAAAAAAAAACGTGTTTTAGAAATTTCACAACAATGCATGGCTACTTAAATTAAGTTCATGCTGTCGCTAGGTCTGAGATATTGAAATATAAAGAAGAAATATTTTGTGTCCTCAAGAAATTGTATTTATAATTAGACTCTGTTAAACTTTTTTATACATATATTGTATAGATGGTAAAAAGGGAGGCAGAACGTTATGCCATGAAACTATAAGAAATTGGAATTTCTCCTGCGACCGCTCACATCTTATCACAAAAATAAACATTATTTACAAACATGTTATCACAAGTGGTGGTGAAACTGACTTCATGACTGTTAGTATTACTTATAAGATATGCAAATGGTTTCGTTTTCCTTATTTCAAAACTTTAATTCTGCTTATTAGAAATGCACTTAAACTGACCTTTACTTTTTATCAGATCCATAGATCGGTCTCCTTAGTACACTTTTAGTTTATTCTCTGTGTGTGCGCCCCTGATTATAAATCTCCACATCAAATGCTGTTTGTTATAACGATGTTCCGAAAACGAATAGTAAAAAGGATTTCGAGCCTTCTTATTTTTACCCTCTTACTTGCTTTACAAGTGTTATGGAAATACGAATCGTGATCTTAAGACACAAACATACCAACCCTTCTCCTAATTTGAATACAAATGTTTCATGTAGTGCTGTAATAGCCATGAAGGAGATTAAATATTTAAAGAGTTAAACTGTGAAGACAATGATTGCATATTAAGTGGTTATATAAGTGGTTCTTATCGTTATAGGACAACTTCCTTTACTTTATGAAGTACCAATTTTCAGTAACTTACATACTTATCAATTAGACATTAAAACATTAAACGTTTCATCATAAGGTGCCTCCAAGAAGCAACTAATCGCTTCTAATTAGAATTTACTCACGAGAAGAAAACTACCACAATCCTGCATTTTTTAGAATGTATTTTAAAACCAAGGGTTAAAAGATAAAAAAAAAATAGACTAAGGCACATTTTAATGTAGATAGCTTTTCTCGCAATCCTCTTAGTGCATTAAGTCGGAGGTATGTGTAAAATAACTATATTTTTGTCTGCCACAAATCACTGCTCTGAAAGCCTGCACTCAATACCAGAACTCACCAGCTGCACTCAACTTACGGTAGCCAGGAAAATAATTGAAATGCTATAAATGGTATTTGATTACAGTAGAATAGCTACATTAGTGTAAAACCGTCTAAGCTGGCGTAGAGTTATGCATAAGCCCAAGATAATCATGGTTATTTGTCCTTAAAAACCCCCCTTTGTTAAGCCAGCTTTGGCGTTTTTACACAGCTACAATAAATGTGCTAATTACGTTAATGAACATAAGACATTTCCATATATTGTTTCATACTTACAAACATGTTCTCAAGTGCGTACTTAGCAAGCCAACAATTGAGAAATACTGGAATGAACAAATTACGCAGTGGAGGCCAGAAAACCTGTAATGTAGGGGACACAAATCTAAATTAAAGTTTTTTGCGCATGCACAGACGTGTATTACATATACATGTTTTTTTTTAAATAGATAATACGTTAAGAAGTCTGCTTTACAACCCGTTCCTTACAAGTCGCAATGGATAAGACAAAAAAATTTACAAAATACGTTTAAATATTAGATTTGAAAACTTAGCTTCTCGATCAGCCTTACTTTAGGTTTGAGTCTTAACGAATAAGCACTGTACTGAATAAAATATGTGAAAATTTCAAAACTTGAAACCATATACATTCGGTGTTGTTCCATAATAATGGATTTAATATTTATTTTAGATTACTTTACACAGTAATGTGTATTTATCTGCTATTAACACTTAATACATTAGCAGTCAAATAGTTTTTTAACACACAGTTCAAAAACTAGGTTAATCTAATGAAGTTATTTATGCCATAATTCCTTACATGTATTAATTGTAAACAATAAAGCACACAAATATCTGTGTGTGTGATATATTGTAATAAACCACGTATAAAACTGTTTCTTAACCTAGTAAAACGAATTTTTGTTGAAATCGGTTCTTTAAAGCCACACCTGCTACTGTTTCATCATAAAAGTTCAACGTCTAATTACGATGTTGAACATTAAAAATAATTATACAAACTTCGAAAACGGAAAAAAAAAATGTATCCAAAACAGCTTTCTTAGACATCTTAGAGTAATTGTAATATGGAATCGCGGAAACAAATATGAAAATCGAATTATTTTTCTTTGCTGTGTTTAACGATTGCGCGAAGCTGTACCGAGTATTCACTTCAAAGGATGACATTATTAAAATCCAAACAAAAGCGCGAATTATTTAGACGGAAACATTTTTCTACAAGACATAAAAAAAATGTAAAAGTTGTGTTTGATTGATATTTCTTACTTCTTCTGTGGAACTAGGATGGTTAGTTTCCAAAATAATGAGACCTCATTAAGACTGGTTTGAAAAGCGTTAACGTTCAGTACGCCTTATCAGCTTTTTTGCTAATAGTTACGTAAATTATCGACTACTTGTTCTCTTTGATATCTCACAAATTACATACTCTTTGATTTTCCTCAAGAATAACAACCTTTAATTGAAATGTTCGTTCTTCTTAGACGGGGTTACAGTTGTAAGAAAAAGTTGTGAATTTGACTTGGAAGAATAGTAATTAAGTTAGAATGAAGTTTATTTCCCACGTACAAAAGTGAACTAGTTAGTTTAAGAGGAAGGTATTTAATTTTCTTAGTAAACAGTGAAAAAAGAATACCACTTACCGTGATGATGAATGGTACGTTATTTACCAATTCCAAAATTAAAGTAAAGGACATTAGTTGTTGCCAGATGTTGCCCTGTAAAACACGAGCTTTTATTTTAGGAAAATAGCAGAAATGAGAGACTTCTGTATCTATTTCAGTTTTAAATACAAGGTGAGGAGAGTAATAAATCAAAATTTTGCGTCTAACAAAAATTAATAGCTATGGATCATTATGCTGGTCGTCCATTAGTTTGCTAAATATGGCTTTAGGTAATAAACTAATAATTCTAAACTTCACATTTTTATTTCGAATTGTGTACGTAATACTATGGCAATCTTATAATGCACTAAAATCACACAGGATAGCCAGCACTATACACCAAAGTTAATGTAACAATAATTTTAGTATACGCTTGCAACCATGATAAATTACAACATCTGATCCTAGCCTTCATTCGATTTAACGTATTACTTCTGCATTACTCCGTTGAACAACTCGAATAAGAGACATGGTGGTAGAAAGCGTTCTTTTATTCGTCATATAACATTACATGATGGTGAATTAAGACAGAATAATCCTGATCCAATTATATTTTCAAAAATTATAAAAGTCTCAGTTAGAGATGATTACAATTTTAATTAAGAATTAATTAAAAAGATCGTAATAAAAATCACCTTATATCCTAAGTACGCTAACAGTAAGGCCTCTGAGAAGCATATTGCCGACAGAGTAACCTAAAAAGAATAAAATAAATTAGATGTAAACCTATTGCAAACAGAAAAAAGTTAATTGTGTTTCAAACAAGGTAAATGTACATATATAAGTCACTCTGATAGTGTAAGAAGCAAGAATCGGTTGTAAAACCGTTTAACAAAATATATATTATATTGCCCTAATTTTCCCCTACGTTACATTTAATCAAATTGCATTTATTACAATCCTAAAGAACAAAACCCTGACTTAAGTACACTAAACAAACCCCACAAACAAACAGGCACAATGACACAAATCTTCCTTTTAGTTTGTTTGTTTGTTTGTAATTAAGCACAAAGCTACACAATGGGCTATCTGTGCTCTACCCTCCACGGGTATCGAAACCCGGATTCTAGCGTTGTAAGTCCGCAGACATACCGCTGTACCACTGGGGGGCCTCCCTTTTAGAACATTCTGGGTGCAAGTACGAAATTCAAATGATAAATCTCAAAATCAAAACTATTATAAGAAACAGCTTCATTAGTACTTCATTTATTAGAATTGATTGAATAGTTTTTGCTTTGCATCCGTTTGGGTGTTTTATATTAAAATCATCATCATCATCATCACCCAGAACAAAATAATTCTCAAATTTTAGATCACTACAGAATCATGGTTACTTCTAAAGACCCTGAAGTTTTTTCAGTATAAAGTACGAACCATTATTATATAATTATTAGATTATATTGTACAGTTACCCGATCATTTTAAGATTACTAATAAAGTCTTAATAAAATATTTATATACGTGCATGGAAAGTAAAATTATTCCTTGCTAGAAACAATGTTAAATACAGGTAAGTTAGAAATTCAACTACACTCGATGCATTCTTATATATACAAAGAATTGTCACAAATTCGTACGCATTTTTTTGTAAGAATAAGTAAAAGTAACATTTTACCTGGATGCACCATAAAAGCAGCGAACGGTCTACCCATAGTATGGCTACCCTGTAAAGAAAGAAGTATACAATTTGTTTGTTTATTTTAGGGTGAAGCCCCTCTGAGCTATCTCCTGCGTCCACCGTGGGGAATCGAACCCAGGATTTTAGCGCTGTAAGGCTATTGTATGCTAATTACCAATTTTATCGTTGATTACTGGCAAACATGAAATTAAATTTGAATAGTTTTAACGCAAATTGTGTGACACACTATGATCCACGTTTCAAAATTTTTTGTCATTTATAAAAAAATCATTTACAAGAGTTGCACTACATGACATTGCTGTAGCAAAATATTAATTATAATTAAAATTCTCCTCTTTCTCACTGTCTAAAGAATTATCCAGATATCAACAAAATATTGTAATTGCCTTGAAAGGATCAAAGCTGCACAATTGATTAACAATTTTTTTAATTTATGACTATCAAAGTTGAGTGGTTTGTCTTTAAGTTGATCCATCAACTTACAGAAGTAGCAACAACTATATTTGCTTATGAAAACAATCAATATTCGTTATAAACAAAGTGATATTTTTTCACTAATCTACACAGTCAATACTAAATAACTTAAAGACGGAACCTACCAGTTGATGTGTCCGTTAGGTCTTGTATTAAAGTCGTGAGATCCTTCTCCTCCGCTTGTGATGTTTGGATCAGGACAGCCATAGCTTCGTTAGAAGAATAGGAGTTTATTTCCATAGTGATGTGTTTAGCAAACAAGCATGTATATTTTCAGTGTTTGATATCTCCGTTTTTTGCACAATAGAGTAAAAATGATTACGTTAGTTCCTATATACTGATGTATTTAAATTTTCAACTGTGCGAGATTATGTTTCAGGAAACATCTTCGTTTCTTTCAAATGTTCGTATGAAGGTATGAACCTAAACTTTAGTAGGAATAAAACATACTCGAACTAGTTATGCAAACTGATTTATTTATTAACGACTATTTAAATGAGTGATGAAATTACGAACATAAAGACAGTGTTTTTATGTCTATTTACACGAAAAGATTTAAGGATTATGCACTTCAGTTTCATCGAAAAAATAGTGATAAATAAAAGAAATAAGTAATAAAACTTACAAGACTTTCATACTCGAGATAAACTTAACCTGATGTTTCTGTTTCGTAATAGGCCTATAACTAAAGAGTTAGGCCTAAAATATTTTACGTAGATTATAAAAGAAAACTTTGTTTTGAAATAAATAATAGCCCATCATTAGAATATTGTTCAGCGTTCATCTTGCACATAATTAATAACTCAAGGAAGCCGAAGTAACAATTAATTTGTAATTACATATTGAAGATCACATATTTAAATTACTTAGTGTATACTATTCTTATATTTCTATTTAATTTTTAAGTCTTATTTTAAGTGAAAAAATACTTTGGCTCTGAAACATTGTTTTTTTTTTTCTGTTTTTAGTTATACAAATATAACTCCAGCTAATCATCATTAACGTACCGATAAAGCGTGCATAGTTTCTTGTTTGCGTACATGTAATAAAGAAGCGAATTCTAAAAAGGCTTATGTATAAAAATTAAAGACGTTTATCCTTTTACCCAACAGCATCAAAGACTGGACTGTGAAATGTTATTTCAAGTCTCATTCGGTCTCAGATGTTTAATTTCAACACTTAATCCATGAGTGGATACAAGGCTAAGATAAAACATAATTCTTTATCGGGCCTGTCATATATTGATAACAAAAACCTACTTTACTGTATCACAACCATAAATTTACCAAACTGTTGAATAGGGGTATTAAATACAAAATTAATCAGATATGCATCTGAATAACTTGTAGGAAGTACGGTTTTATCTGCTTTCTGTTAAGTTGCTTTGACAACTATGTCAAAATGTTCTTTATGTAGTGTGACTAGTCTTCTTTGATATCTAATTCTTTTCGTCGTGCTGTTCCAGAGATTAAGGCCGTATGTGAAGAGAAATAACTGCTGAAGTCGTGTAATGTATCAGTGACTGGACCTTTAAGGTTTGTACTACACTCTGTGAAATACATGTATAAGAGATGAACATCATACAAATAATTGGCTTTTAGCTAGAAAGCTTCCTATAGAGAATCTATGCAGATTTGCATTAACGATATCGTGAAAGATTACCGTTTACCGTCGTAATTGAAATATAAAGTTTGGTAATAAGCTGGAGATTCTGGACTGCTTTGCAACACAAGCACGTGTTCAGAAATCATGCTGTGACTATTTCAATCAAACGATATTATTACTTGTTTCCAAGTAAGAGCTATAACTTAAACCTCATACAGAAATAGATAGAGTGTCTTGGCCAATGCTTCACAAAGTTAAAAAATAAGTTCAAAACAGAGTTTAAAAAATAAGTTCAGAACAAAGTTTAACTTCACAGCACATGAACAGAAAGAACAATAAAGGTCTAAAATCCAAGGTCGCACAAAACGTAAATGGTAAATTAAGTAGAGAAACACATTTCAAAACAAAAAAGTTAGTTTTTTTAATTTCGCGCAAAGCTACACGAGGGCTATCTGCGCTAGCCCTCCCAAATTTAGCAGTGTAAGACTAGAGGGAAGGTAGCTAGTCATCACAACCCACCGCCAACTCTTGGGCTACTTATTTACCAACGAATAGTGGGATTGACCGTCAAATTATAACGCCCCCACGGCTGAAAGGGCGAGCATGTTTGGTGGGACGGGGATTCGAACCCGCGACCCTCAGATTGCGAGTCGAGCGCCCTAAACACCTGGCCATGCCGGGCCCTAGAGTTTAGCATCATGATATAAAAACATTGTTTGTTTTTGTTTGTTTGTTTTT